GATAAATCTGTCCAACATATTTTTCAAATTTGATGCAGAACTGAGAAATTTACAGACCCTTGATTTCCCATGTGTATAAAAATATGCAGCTATAATTTTATTTATTGCATTCTTAAAGAGCAAGATAACAAGAAACAAGATAATTTCATTTTAAAACTGAGATCTTTCAAGAGAGTTCATATTTCGCAATTTATAATTCTGAATTTATATAAATTTTTTTTACAATTAAATCATTTAAAATTTTTTTTTTTAATTTTAGTTTTTTTATATAAGGACTTTATTATATTTTTAACCAAGGGATATCTCAAAACAACAGCGGTAATAGTTTTTCCACTGTTGTTTTAAAATAGCGAATTGTTTGTTGGACTATTTACATTGTCGCACATAACAATGTCTAGAAACACAACAATCATTCGCACAGTTCAACAAAGAATATGAAGTATTATAGTTACTTTGCCTTTAAATCATTTATTGTTTTAAACGTTATATTTGATGCTTTGTTAAGTGCTTTGCTTACTGTTCTATTCTGAGGAATTTGTGATATTCAACCAACTATATTTGAAATGATCACCCCTATGATCTTGAAGGTATTTTTATACCTCTTTCAATATGCTTTGACATTGATTTTGAAAAATGATCTCCTCTCCTTTCGGGAGATCTTGATTTTTGAATTGGTACTGGAACTTTTCGAACGTTGCTCCCCGATTCAATCCTTCGATAGAGTTGTACCTGACCCTATTCTTGATGCTCGACCTGCGACTACTGCAAGTGAACGCATTCCTATCGTTCGCTGTCCGGAAGATGTGCGAGGCCCTGGACCTGAAGGCCAAGTTCGTTCCACTGCCAGGAACAACCTTTCCTCGAATTTCCCACAGAGATGCAGATCACACGACTGCTGGCCCTGTCATAGGATCATTCTCTGTGTGGAAGATTTGCCAGGCGTTGGATCTTCCAGTCACTTACGATCCACAGCTCATCAGAAAATCTGTTTTTCGGAATCCGCACAAACCGATACCAGTGGTACAGTCAGCTGCTGTTTTTGAACTGTGCAAGGCTTTGAACTTAACAGTTAAACTGGTTACTTTTAAATATGATTTCTGGCATAGGACTGCCGCGCCTGGCTCGGATGTAGTCCAATCTGGACGTCCAATTTTCGATGACTTTTTTCAACATTTGTGGCCGTATATCGGCAATAACACGGCGAATGTTGTCTTCCAAATGGTCAAGCGTTTGTGGCTTATCCGCATAGACCAATGACTTTACATAGCCCCACAGAAAACAGTCTAGCGGTGTTAAATCACAAGATCTTGGAGGCCAATTCACAGGTCCAAAATGTGAAATTAGGCGGTCACCAAACGTGTCTTTCAATAAATCGATTGTGGCACGAGCTGTGTGACATGTTGCGCCGTCTTGTTGGAACCACAGCTCCTGGACATCATGATTGTTCAATTCAGGAATGAAAAAGCTAGTAATCGTGGCTCTATACCGATCACCATTGACTGTAACGTTGTGGCCTTCATCGTTTTTGAAGAAGGATTCCACCAGCCCATAAAGCGCACCAAACAGTCAGTTTTTCTGGATGTAACGGTGTTTCGACATACACTTATGGATCAGTTTCACTCCAAATGCGGCAGTTTTGTTTGCTGACGTAGCCATTCAACCAGAAGTGTGCTTCATCGCTAAACAAAATTCGCTTATGAAAATCGACCATTATGTTCGAAATAAAATTGCACAATTTGAAAGCGTTGTTCAGGCGTGAGTCTATTCATGATGAATTGCCAAACCAAACTCAGAATAAATCACTTGACAGCTGTTAAATCGGTCGCCATCTTGGAAAGTAATGCCAACTTAAACTTCTATACCTGGAAAAAAAAACACTCTGTACTATACGGAACAGATGAATTCTTGGAACTTTGTGTGGAACATGGAAAAAAACTTTATTTTCGATCAAGATATCTGCATGTTGTTACCTACGAATTTTGAAAGCTTCTTAGTAATATTATCAGCTAGAAATTTTATTAAGATATAATGTTTCTAAGAAAATAATAACAAATATTTTGGACCTTTAGCTTAGATACAATAGTGTATTTTCAAGGAGACTTATGACAATTTTCGGACACAACATTTTCTAAAAAAAATATCTGTATATTATTCTTATCTTAATTTGAATTGATACTCATGTTATATCGTTATATTAGATTAGGATCCATTGCAAACATTTATTGGAGTGAAAATTTAAAACAGAATGATGTATTATTATTGCTTTAATTATTTTTCATGTATACAAACATAGATAATATAATAATAATGCAATGATCCAATAATGTTTAACTTTTTTAATTAGTCAGATATTTGTTTCTCAGCTCTTTTACTGAGTTTTTGCAAATCGATCTCAATGCATGTACTTGGACATTGTAATTGATTTTGCAGGTTTTCGGACGTTAAGCTCGAGTGCGACTTATATTTTATAAATTTCATTTTCGGGGGGGGACGCGATTTTCAGGTTTAAGTTTATCCAAAAGCACTCGCAACTTCTTGTGCCAGATCTCTCAAATTGGAAAATTTTTCTTTTGAGATATTTTATAAAAACATATTTTTGATCCAGATGCTTCAATTAAGTGTTTTAATACATAATTGTATTGTATGTCAATCAGTTTCATTTAGAGATATTGGAAATTTGCGTATTTGATGTAAATTTGAATTTTTAAATCTTTCATCAATGGAAAGTGTTGAATGTTAATACAAATCGCTCAGACCGTAAAATTATTCCAGGTAGACCACATGCGGCCCCCGGGCAGTGGGTTGGCCACCCCTGATTTAAACGAACGATAAGACAGGAAACACATTTTCTGAATTATCAATCACTGTCCTGGATTAAAAGAAGGACAGAAGAAATTCTTTTGTTTTCTGGCATTGAGAAAGATAAAAGTATTAATAATTATTCAGTCATCAAGGATTCAAATCAGAGGTAGAATGCTTTTCAATCAGTTCATTTCATCAGAGTAATTTGTTGTTCAGCGTTGTAATTTTTCCATCAATCATCGAAGACAAGTGTGAGATTAATTAATATGTTTAATGACAAGCGGAGTGCGTCTGCATTCGTTCACCTGCAGAAGATCTTTAATCAAAACTAAGAAGGTTTTAACAAGCAGCTCCCTCTATACTGAGCAGGTTCTACCAATAACGATTAACATTAAAACAGCAATGGTTACATTTTCTTAATAGCTAGAAAACGAAGCGGACATGTTATCCGAAAGACAAAGTTGTGAACTCGCAGCCCTTTTCAATTTCAAATCACGATGTTAATAAAAAAATCCCACAATCAGAAAGGTTTGTGGCTAACGGTGTTTCTGTTGACTCTTCGTTTCAAACCTGTGTTTCTAACGACTCACCAAGTAAAGGGCACCGTTGTCGAGGCTCAAAGTCTTCACGCTGGTGTGGTGTCGAAGTTGAGAGAAGGTGCCAGCTCAAGTGTCATCTTCATTACTTGACTGTACAATTAAATGAAATTCATTACCAATAACCCTCATGTAGTTTGTGTGTGTGAGATGTTAATAATCATTTAATTATATGTAACCCTGCTTTTTTTCAATTCCTATAATTGGTTCACTCTCACCCTATATATATTTATAAAAATAAATATATTTTGTTCAAATTTTCAATCGTTAATTAAATACCTTCTATTCATCCATTCAAGTTCAAATACGTTTTTTTAAAACTTGTAGTGCAGTGTTTCCCAAAGTGGTCTATATAGACCCCCAGGGGTCCACGCCAGCGAAAAAATAATTTGGGGGTCCATGAGGTGTAAATGGGGGTCTACGACAGTGGATCTCATTAAACCAGTTTGTGATTTTAATTTTAAAAGGAAATTTAATCAAATGGAAAACAGACTTACCTACTTAATAGATTTATTTACTAAATTTAATGAGGTTAATTTGCAGTTTCAAGGTGAGAGCATAATTTTTTTTTAAAACAAGAACCACATTGCAGCCATTCTTGTGTGTGCCAGAATTAAGCTAAAGAAGTATAATTTTGGACATCTCAAATATTCACAATTGTCACGGACAATCTTTCAGGAAAAAGAGTTTTAACCTACGTTCAACATTTAAATGCCCCTTTTTTTGATTTTGAAACTAGGTTTGAACATGTTTTGACTATCGTAATACCACAATAGGCAATGAATTCATATGGTCACTTTGAAAAAAAAGAAGTCAGATTACACAAGAACTAGACACTAGTAATATAGGCACTAAATGAGATATTAAAGTGAAGTTTAGAAACGGATGTCAATAATTTTGACTTTAAAAAGACACATTATGGAATATCTTGAGAAAGTTTTTAATTGTTTTTCCGATTGAGAAGGAATTTTTCATTGCGCTTGCCGTTCTCCAAAACAAACAAAGAAAGAAGAAAAGACTGGACACTGTTAACCGAGGAGATATTAAGGGTCAAACCTGACAAAGACCGATGCCAGATGTTGAAAATTTGTTATTGCATCCCTAGATTCCTCCCATTAAAAGCATTTGTTAGTTGCTCAGTTATTTTATTTAACAGTTATTTTATGCATTAATTAAATTTTAATTTAATTAATGCATAAAATAGTGTTTAAAAATATTAAGGAAACACACGTAAATTAATTAATTAAATTTTAGTTTAATTAATTAACATGTGTTTTCTTAATTGTTCAACACTATACTTCACTACAGTTAAACATTTTAATCTTTTTAAGGATGCAGCTCTATACCTACTGTCAAAAACCCATTCAAATTGATGAATTCGCAAAAATTTAATATTAGGTAAGTAGGGGTCTACCCCAAACCGAAAAACCTGTCAAGGGGTCTATGAGGCAAAAAAGTTTGGGAACCTCTGTTGCAGTGGATGACACTGGATGTTAATACAGTTTTTAGAAATATTAATTCATTAATTAAATTAAAAAATGAATAAATAGTAACAAAAATAATAGTCCAACAGCATATGTAGAAAGGAAAATCGTTCGTTGTGTCCCTGTAGCGCAATGGATGGTGTGTGTGTGTGCGTTGAACTTCTAATCCAAAGGTCGTGGGGACGAATTCCACCTGGGATAGCTTAATTTCTAAAAATGTGATTTCTTTTTTACTATACTATTTTATTAGAATAATTAAATTAAATGAATTAATAAATAGTAACAAACAAAAAATAGTTCAACTCCCTATATAGGAAAGAAAATGGAAAATTGCAAGAAAAATCGCTTTCTATTTTGCCACTTAATAGTGTGATTCTGTCATACGTATATAGAGATTTATATTAATTGTAATTATTTGATAAAAAGTAATTAAAATAAAAATTTTCTTTGTTGACTTGAGTAGGAATTGACTTAAATTTTTTTCTTTTATATTACTTGTTCGTATGGATGAATAAGAAGTGGAAATATGCAGATTAAAAAGCACATAATGTAAAAATTATATTAGAGCTGACGAAAATCAATCGAACTTTCAAGTATCCCGTATTTGTCCTGATCATCGAACATAAAATCAAAACTCCTCGCCAGTGAATAATCGCCTGTATAGCGAACCAGAAATATCTGGCAACAACACGGCGAGTTTTATTTTCTCTCTTTCTTAGAAGATGGCAGTTGTTGATGAGCTCTGGGATTCCACCGATTTGCATATCGAAAATTATTTCCGCGTACAACATCGCGTTGGGTGGGACCGCGACCCCGTGACCTCCCCCCCCCCTTGTCCGTCATCACGTGACCCTACCTTCGGTAGGTGAGGATGTACGAAAAATAAAAAAGGTTAAAGCAAAAAACGAAAAGAAGAACCAGACGAAACGAAGATGGAAAGACCGGCGCGGGAAGTGATTGAATAAAATAAAAGTTTGAAAAAAAAAAAGAAAAAAAGAAAATTATTAAAAGGGCAAGAGGAGGGAGGAGAGGAGTAACCAAACGATGCGCGCTGGTCGAAAATCGTCCACTACCTCTCTCCGCTTTGGAATATAAACTGAATTTACTCTTTCGCCCTGGTTCAGTTGGCAGCACAGTTTCGGTTGCTCCGGTATCGTTTGCTGTTCAGTCGCGTTTTCAAGAAGTTCCCGCGCTTTTCGCCTTCCAGGAATACCGAGGCGTTCGAAAACAGAGGTGAGTGGTGCACGAGGTTTTTATTTACCTTTTTTGTTCTTCGGATGTGGTACTGTTGAACAATTTTTTAAAGTTTTGATTCGGAAAGCCGAGTAATACTTTTTGAAAAATTCGAAAAATGTCTTTAATTGACAAGAAATATATTAAGTTTGAAATTGATAAAAAGAATGAATTTTCAAAAATTGTTCTTTAAAAAAGACATTGTTTTGATGGTAACTTGTGAAATTCGTGCAACATAAATTAAAATTTTGATGGCTTTTTAGAGTATATCATTGAGGTTTAATATAATTGCATTTTTTAATACAATTCATAGTTTAAAAATATGTATGATTTGCACTTCAAAAATAGGCTTAAAGCAACAAAATTAGTGGGATTTTCTTATTTTAAAATAATTTTTTTTATGAGAACAGGATTGCATTAAATAAAACAAATTCGTTTGTCAGTTATTTTTTATTTTTCGTTAGCAAAAAAAGATTAAAAAAAATTATTGTAAGACAAAAATTACAAACTTATTAAATAAGCTTCTGTGTGTGAGTGTGTGTGAAACCGTATGATTTAAATTTTAAAAAATATATCAAGTGATATTTTTAAGCTTGGAAAATCAGTGTGCGCATTATATCACTTATTATTTCTTTCAGTAAGTACGAATGGGATACTTTTAAAATAAAATTAATGTTTTTTTAAAAAAAATGTTTTTTTTTTTCTATTCTAACTTTGTAACATTTAATTATGGTATTTGTTCATAATTTTCAAGAAATTAATATATATTAAAAACTTCTTGATAATGTTGTTAATATATATAGTTTTTCTAACAATTTTTAGTGTCTTTTTTGATCGATAGAACGTTCAAAAAACGTAATCACCTTTTTTTTATTACTTTCTCCATTAATTTCAGAGTTGCTTAAAATTTTTTTCAATGTATTTATTTTTTATAGTTTAGAAATTTTACCTCATTATTTAATTGATAGCATTTTTGTTGGAACTTTTGTAAGAGCATTTCATTTTAAAATAGATAATTTTCTAAGAAAAAAGTTTACTTTTTGTGTTTATAGAAGAAAAAGGAACAATAAATGATTTCTATGTTAAAAAGAGCAAAACATCACAGTACCGTGAACGTTTCTAAACAAATGAATTCAGCAACTTGTGATACATTTTTAGAATAAAATATATTTCTGAAATTTAATTGTTCTTGTAATATTTTAAACAATTTTGCTGAATGGATAAAATACAATACTCGCCACTTTTAATTTTTTAAGTAAATGTAAATGAATTATTATATATGTATATATATTTAATTTTATAAATGTAACAGTATGTTACATTTAACAACTATCGATGTTTAGTTTCAAAAGAGGGAAAAAACGTTCTCAATTTTTCCGGTTTTTCTTCTTTTTTTTTTACCATTTATAAAAGCGCATGAAATATTTTAGAAAAATGAAATTAAAATTTTTTGGTACACATTAATGTATTTTTCACAACACACACACTTTAAAAATCGTATTTTAATAAACAAATCAATATCATACATGTATACTAGTATATTATGTTTAGAAATATTTACATTTCACTATTCATTTAATTTAGGCGCACATTAAAACCAGTGACGTAGCTATCGCCATAACAATGATACGGGCCCCCAAGCTACTGGGGCCCTAACATGTGTAAGCAAAAAATTGTAAAATATTAACGAGACCCAAAAAGACTGACTACGGCAGGGATTAAAACCATACTTAAATACATGCAAATATTCCGATAATTTTGAATGCTTCAAACGCAAAATAAACTCACGTTGATGTATCTGTTGCAGCACAAATTATTCCAGCTCATTTCGTTGAATCATTATTTATAATGTGTTGCCACTTTCCGTGTTGCCACTTTCCGTGCTGTATATGTGAGTAGAATATTATCGCCTGTTATTCATGCAATGTATTATCATGAAAATACTTTTAACTCCGAATTTAAAACCATTCAGCAAAATTTCGTTATGGAGCAAACATTTTCAACAAGTTCCCCTATCATTTTTCACTATCGCGTTTTATTTTAACAAGTTTCAACGTGAAGTAATGAGAAAGTTTTGTTAAGAAAGTATGGCGAACTCTTAGGGTAACGCAATCAATTTTCTTAATTATCTTGACGAAATTATTCATAAGCTTCAATATTTGAGGAGATATTCCGAATTATTTAGCATATCTAACATGGAATTTTATAAGGGGTTGGAGTAACATCATCTTCATGAGCTAAAGTCGCGCTGTATCATTGGCGACAAAATTTCACCGTTTTGGTTTTTGTTCCCAATTTGTAATTGGAAATGAGAGGTATTGTTGACGGACTTTTAACATTTTGAGTTGTAGAGAAGAGAGTAGAAATTTGCTAAATTAGTCTCTCTTTCTAAACTTCTACTCCGTACCACGCGAAGATTTTAAAGCCGGTTGACTTTATTTACAAGAAATTGCATGGTTTCAAGTAGTGGTAATCGAAGAAGTGGATTTTCGAATCCGCAAATCTTGATCTCGTAATTGATCTTCAAAATGCACCACACCCCAACCTAATCGAATAATTATTTTTGTATTATAGCAATACGGTGGTATTAAATCAAAATAGTATAAGGAAGCCCATTAGAGACTGATGCTGTTTAGAACATACAACGATGGTCTTTTTTCCCCATTTTGATTTAACGTCCCACGACAGCCGTATTACAAAAATAACTCTATTTGGCTTTTAGTGATTGTTTGAAATAACGTAGTTCTAGAGCTGCTGTGGTGTGGGTCTTGTATTTTTGAACTATGATCATCTCAAAGGTAGCATCTCAACACTAATTTTACTCCTCTGACCATGCCACTCGATGAATTTGCATGAAACTGTCGTAGCAGTTAAATGAAACTCGTAGGATACTCCGGTATTTTACACTCACATATCTTTGATTAAACACTCCAAGCAATTTAAGCATCGTCCACCATACAGTTCACGACCACTTGACTTTATCGGTCCCCTAACGGTCAATTCGCAACGGACAGTGGTGTGCACAGTCTACTTTTATGGGAGTTGCTTACATTTTTAAAAAATGTAGAAGAAAACGCTAAGGCGTAGTCTTAAATCAAAAAATTAAATGTCTTCGTGAATAGGAGGAACTCTATTCCCCAAACCCCATCCTTATGCATCTGGCAGCATACTCATTATTTTAAAACAATGGCCACAATGGTCGCTTTTCCGGTGTAGTGGTTAGCGACGCCGACTGCTGTGCCGTAGGGCCTAGGTTCGAATCCTGGAGAAGGCATGGACATTTGTAAATGTATAGTGCCTTTGCGGCATGGGGGTACTATAAACAGCTATCGAGCCGCCAGTCCTCTCATGAGGTTGGTGGGATATTTTTGACCTTTCCTAGGGTGTTCTTTCTCAAAGTTGGGGTGGAAGCGAGCCGTACTGTCATCTGTATGGTGCTCAAAGCTACGGCTAACGACATGTGTACATCTAGCCCTTTGCCACGATGAATTTCGTCAGGCAAGTAACATTAGGAACAACAACAACATGGCCACATTAGAGTAACCTCACTTGTGCTGGTATCCCATTCTCCCGAATTCCACTCTTCAAGGGAACTTTGAATCTTAATGATTACTTTTAATATTTCTCAAGCCGCCCAGCCAGTATGGTCCCTCGGTTTGTAATCGAGTAGTCTTGGGCTCGAATCCCGAATAAGACATGGGTGTATCTTCGGAAAAAGGAGTCGGACAATCGCCTGAAATGGATTCCCATCTCGAACGGAAAGCAAGCGTACCCCTTCTGCTCTGTGCTAGAATTATCATTTGTAATAAAGTATATATTCTTCTATGATTGTATTGTATGTTTCTGCTCATCTATCGCATGTATCCCAGGATGAAATGCACAATAACAATATTTCTCAACCTCTTTGTCCTTTCGCCAAATCAGGGCTCGAATCCGCAACATCACTTTTTTGACATCTCTGGAGCAAA